AGAAGAGCACAGACACATCTGGCTAAACTTTTCTGACTGTTTTTCAGGATTAAATCTTTCTTTCTTTTTCTTTTTTATAGGATCAGACATTCAGTTTGTCTGACTCTTCCTTGCTGTACACTGTCACTTTTAAAAAATGATGTGACACTGATCTACCACACCTTGACTAGCACCCCACCAGCAATCACCTGCAGTGACATGCTTCTTGGGACCTCTGATGATACCTAATTCTGAAAACACCTCTTGTTGACCTTGAAACAAAGTTAATAATATGTCTTGAGCAGATGTCTGAGTTCCAGGCCAGCCTGGACTACAGAGTAAGTTCCAGGACAGCCAGGGCTACACAGAGAGACCTTGCCTCAAAAACAAAACAATAGCAATAACAACAGTAATAATATAGCCTGAGATCATCTTAAAAAACGTGTACTTAATCTACCACCCAGCTAACTCATGCAATCAACTTTTACATCCTAAGAACTGTAGCAAATAGGTATTAATAATCTCTGTGTGCTATTCTGTGTCAGTAAAGCAAAACTTCCCCTTTAATAGTATCCTTGAAGATTGATTCCACATTTCTCTCCATGAAAAAGCCTTTGTTGGATATGTGATAGGTAGGATTTTAGTTAGGGGGGTGGTTGGGGAGGAAGGGAGGGAGAAGGGAACTGGGATTGTCATGTAAATCAATCTTGTTTCTAATTTAAATAAAAATAATAAAAAATGATGAAATGACAAAAAAGCCTTTCTTAGAGACAGATCAAACACAGGGGAAATTTATCTTATTCCTTAACGCAAAATTGACAGCAACCCATGTCTATTCCAGAATATTCCTCAGAGTCACATGAGTAGCTTGGGTAAAACAGGGCATTCTGCAACATCATCACATTCCCCAGTCCAGAAACACAGACCCCTGCCCTCCTCCACCAGGTCTGATTAGCAGTGGTCTCACAATAGGAAGTGGTCAGTGTACCAACCCAGCCTGGAGAGTTGCCCAGAACCCCACCCATCCTCACCATAGCCACACTCACATAAAGCAGGCTGGCACCAGCCCAGACTACTGAGTAACTAAGAACCTATCCTTACACTGCCAGGCCTAGCTGGTGTTACACATTGTGTAAAACACCCCACAAAGGGAAATGCACAGTAACTTGCCAGCCACAGCCATTCTCATGCTTTCTGGCCTACTGGGGTCAATCAAACTACAAACCATCTCAGCCTGGTGAGAGCTCAAGATCTTGTCCTGGATTGTCCTACTAATGTTCCCAGGCCTAGCTTGGGTTGAACAGCCTGTACTCCAATCCAGCCTAGTGTAGAATCAAGACCATACCTTACTGAATCATCCTGACACACTCAGATCCAGTTTCAGTTAAGCAGTTCACTGAGCAGCCAAGTCTAACCAATCAAACTAACTCAGGTTACCAAGTGGTGTCATGATTCTAGGAAGACAGTCTACCAGGTCAGTGTTGTGAGTACCCAACATCCCCATCTGTCTATTCCATACTCACAGGCCCATCTTGGACTATAGAACCTGAGAAACAGCCCAACCTGGTGAGTGACCAAGACTCCCCAGGCAGCATCTTCCCCAGATTCCCAGGCCTAGTTCAGGTCAGTCAGCTCTCCAACTAAATTGGTGAGTTAACCAAAGTTGTGAATTCCTCTACCATCATCAGAGGCTCTGGCCCAGTTGTTGTCAAGCAGCCTGGGTACCAGACAGGACTGAAGTGTGATCAAGTTACTACCCTCACATGTAATCCTCTCATGTGTAGACCTAGCTAGTTTGGGCCAAATTGTTATGTACTATCCCAGTCTTGTGAATTCCTCAGAGCCTCACCCACCTACACCATTGCCACACTCCCATGCCCAGCTGGAATCATGAACTATGGCTAGCAACTAAGTCTGACTAATGAGCATGAGCTAGGGTAAATCACACTGTACATCATCCAAGTCTGATGGACCAAGGTCCTATCCTGCTAGTGTGGTACTAATACTTCTAGGCCTAGCTTGCACTATAGCCAAGCCTGGTGAATAATCTGTACCCTTATACTCTCTGGAAATCTCCATAGAGCCAGGCCCCTCTTGGCAAGGGACCAAGACCCCATACTCTGGTGTCATTCACAAACTTTCAGGCACGGCCCCACTCCAGCAGCTCTCAGGCAAGCCAAGGCTCCTTTGTGATGCAGGCACCTGCTCCCCTACACCTGATAAGGCCAGGGAATGATCTCATAATTACAGGCAGACTGTGGGCCAGCTCAACCAGGTAAATGATCTTGAACCCACTCTTTCCCACCATTACCATTCTTCCAGGTCTAGCTTGAGCTGAAAAGCCTGCAAACAAGCTCAAACTGCAAGGGAATTATATTTTTGTCTTCCTGTGTCATCCCCACAATCAGTGGTTGGATTGTGCTCAAGCTGCCTGCTCCTAAACTTACTTTGGTAAGTGATCAAGACCTTAATGTTCCCCCCATCCCTGCCCACAAAGTCCTAACAATTTCATGACTTGTTGGGGGTCATGGAAACAATGAGTGCCCTCATAATCAAGCCTCTTTCCACATGTACCCTCCTCACACTCACAGCCCTACACTGGACCACAGAGCCTGAAGAGACCAGGCAAGTGAGTGATCAAGATTCCGCATCAACCAGCCATCTCAAACCCTTGGTGAAGCAGATCACTGACTGGCACATCCTGGTGAGTATTCCAGACCACTGACCTCCATGTAAGTCTCATATTCCCAGCCCAGACTGCTAAGTGGTCAAGACCCATCTCTACTACTACATCTTCCAACTGCAAAGCCTTGAAATTGTTACAAAGCCTAGTGAGTTCCTACAGATCTCACCTACCATCGCCATCCTCACTAATATGGCCTAGCTGGAGTCAATCAGATTGTAAACCATACTAGTCCGGTGAGAGCTCGAGGTCTTGGCCTCCCAGTGTAGTGCTAATACTCCCCAATAGCTTGAGTAGCAATGCCTGCACTTTAGCTCAGACTGCCGAAGGACCCAGACCCCCGTACTTCCGAGAACATCCCCACATCCCCAGGCCTAGAATGGCTGCAGCAGCCTGGTTAGGGAGAAAGACAATACACTCATGCCCCATCCTCACACTCCTCGACATAATTCAGGTCAAGTAGTATATGGACCTGCCAAGCCTGGTTAGTGACCCAGAATGTTGTCCTTGTGCCTCACCCTAGACTAGAAAGCAGTCTTACAATCCCAGGCCTACTGTGTACCACACTGTGAGTGACATAGAACCTTGCTCTTCCACAACACTACCATACTACCAGGGCTAGCATAGGTCACATAGCCTGCCCACAAGCCATCTTGGTGACCCAGAACTGTCTTCCCTTGTTGTCTCCATAGTCACAGAGCTGTGGGTCTGAGCCACCTACCCACCAGTGTACCTTGGCCCTCCATCAATACCAGGCCCTCCATCTCTCATGAATCTAACAACCCAAGACTTGTTCAGAATAAAGAGCATGGGCACCAGAAGAACATATTCAGTGATTAAGAGCCTCTTGTCCCACACAATCCTCACGCACCCAGGTCTAGCTGACACCAAGCAGCTTATCCACCAGCAGAGTCTGATAAAAGCCAATAAATACACTTGTCTTCATCACTCAAGAACTAGCTTCGGCCTTTTAGCCTGAGCGACAGCACAGCCTGGTCAGTGACTAAGATACCCCCCCCTCTAGTGCCTTCATCACCCTTCCAGGCTTAGCTCAGATCAAGGTGATCACAGACCAACATGACCTTCAGAATGACTCACACCCTTGCCCTCCTGTGTCATCTCCAAAGCCTCAGACCCCAGTTGTATCCCAGTCCTGGCATGGTCAGCCAATTTGCCTCAGTTCCATGAGTGACTTAGAACCCTGTCAGTCTGCACCATTACTATATTCCCAGGTCTGTAAAGTATCAAGCAGTCTGGGCACCATCTCTGACTGCTCAGATGCTAAGACCAACAATGCCTGGGTCAGTCCATTTTCTAGCTGGAGCCAATCATACCGTGCACCATCCCAGCCTGGTAAGAGCTCGAGATCCACCCATGCTGCTGATGTACTATCACTCCCAAGCCTAGCTTCAGTCACACAGCCTGTACTCAAGACAACCTCCTGAGTGGCCCAGGTCTTGCACTCTTGTGACATCTGACCAGTCTCTAGCCCAACTGAAGTCAATCTGCCTGCTCAGCAACCCTAATTGGTAAGTGATAAAGACCCGGCCCTTGCACGCCATACACCATAGCTTGGATCACACTTATACACTGATCTTGGCCTGTTGACTCACACATAACCCTGCCTATCTGCAACATTAACACACTCCCAGGCCTAGCCTGGGCTACGACCTTCTGTGACAACCACACAGTCCCAAGGTAAGCTGGGGTCAAGCTGTCCGCTCATTGATCTGGTATGTGATCAAGACTACCTTCTCCCCAACCTAACAATGCCAGTACTGGTTGGGATCCAGTAGCCTGGGAATAAGAACATCCATGTATTAGCAGTCAATGCGATCCACTCCCACGCCATCTCCATATTGCCTGTCCCGGCTCTGGCCAGGCAGCTTTCCCATCAGCCCAGTCTAGTAAGTGCATTTCACTTCCCCCGGATCACAGGCCAAGATATGAACTCAATGTGTTAACCTATGTGCTCGGCCCCTTTAATCTTAATATGCCCTTTAAGAATATAAGTAATGTCGCCCCTTGGAATTAGAAATACAACTCTGGGGATTCTTGGAGGCTTCAAAGCTGGTGGTAGAGGTGGCTAGAGAAGTGGCAGGGATGTGACAGACCAGCCTGTTCCCCTCCTCCCTTCTCTCACCTGCACGACTTCCTTCCTCTAAAAGAAAAGTTTGAGGGGAAAAAAAGCCCCTAGAGCTGGTAGCTGCCTCATGGCCTGGCTTTCTCTAGACCACCAGGTCTTGGCAAAAGCTTGGGGTGGCCACTCTGCCTCCAGGGCCACACTGCTGACCT